ACAAGCTTCAGGTGATTACTTTGAAGGAATAGCGTCAGGTGTGTTTGCTGAGATGCATCATATTTGCTGTGAGCACCCTGAGTGGGATGTGGTTTAGAAGGTTTTTACAAGGTAGCGGTCAGGTTCCTGCAGTTGAAGCACAATGTTGGAGGTGGCATAGCATTGTTTGGTGGATGAGGTGAGGAGGGAGTACATGATCCTCCCCCAGTAGGCTTGAATTCTTGAGGAATTACGGGAGGTTGAAATACAGCATGGACCACACAGCTCCTCCTGTGTTCAAGTATCTTTTCTGTCATCCTTCATCATTAAAGTCACACTAATTTGGTAGTACTCTTGTGACTGGTGATTTCCTAACCTTTTGGCTCCTGGAGTTGGTTTCATGAATAGTTGGAGACAAGGGACTAAAATGAAAGAGAAAAAGCAACTAAGTATTGGAAGAGAAAGGAGAACTTGAGAGATGAATCAAACATTGTTGCCATACACATGATTAAGTATCCTTGATATGTGAGCATCATTTCTTGTGATCCAATGATTTTTAACTCCGCCACTCCCATCTTAGGCCTTTCTGAAAATCTGCTGAAAGCTAAGGACCTCCACTCAGAAAAATGGGCATGTCCACACACAGAGGTTAAGGTTTTGTTTGTTTATTTGTTTGTTTTACAATCCTCTTGAAGTCATGACTAGATTACTCAGGATTACACAAATCCAAATTGCTAGTTACTTCTCAGTCTCACTTCAGCTGTGGCACACATCAAGAGTCAAGAATATTTTGATCTTAGTTCTTGTAAAAGGTAAGCATTACAAAGAAGTGTGAACATTAGGTTAAAAATACTTTTCGTGTTTCATTTAAATCAATTATTTCTTGAGAAGGGTAAAAATGCCCAAGAATTATGTTGTTTCAGGGTAGGCAGAGTGTTCAAAGCTTAGAAAAGGGGGAGGAAACAGTAAAGGGTTTTGAGAGGGAAGAGGAAGGATACAGAAATAATTGAAGAACTGGATGGAGGCTTAGTAAATGTAATTCTGTTCTTGTTCAGAACTCCTAGAGACCCTCTGATCATTTTTATTTGATCTCAAGTTTCTAGTAACTTAAATAACAATCAGACGAGTGAGGACAAATTAAAATTTTTCTTCCCCAAAATCTTCTGTTCCTTCAGATCCTTTTGTGAAAAGTAGGGACTAATAATATAAGGAATAATCAGATTATTGATTTTCATGTGTTGGAAATAGTGTGCTTGGAATCATTACACAAGTAAGGAAAACATGAGCAGGGGAAATATGAAGACTTAACTATTGAAAATGGATTCTTAAAATTAAGAAAGCCTGTAGTAAAGAAAATAATAGCATTTCTTGGTTATAAGGGTTTTTTTTCCCAGGGCTCAGGAATACTCCATCCTTCATGATGCAGGGATCATCCAATTTGTTCACCAGATCCCTTGGCTTGCTTAGTTGGATGGTATTGAAGGGGTGCTCCTTCCTTCTTCTCCCCAAAACATTCTATCCTTCTTACATGTTACAAACTATATTGCCCCCAACATAAAATGCATATCTTTCTCCCCCTACTACAGCATGAGCTTCTTTGCACTTCCTCCTACCCTGTGTCTAGAGTAGTACCTAGCACATAGTAAATGCTCAGTAAATGTGTCTGTTGAATGAAATTGAATTGATCTGAATTTAGACTTTAATGACAAAACGTGACTAATTCTAACAAGCCTTTCTCAAAATGATGTTATTCAGAATGCACAAAAATAACTGAACTCTTAACAAAATGTCAATTTTAAATAAAAACGTGGGAGAAATGTCCATGGATGTCCTTTTGGATGCTTTGTCTCATAGTCTCCTAAAAATAAAATTTAGAACTTCTTTTACGCAATTGGTCTTTCAACATAGATAAGCACAGATCTGGCTGGGGTTGTTGTGGCAGTAAAATTATTTTTCTCTCTTTCATATTTATATTTTCTTTTGAGAATATCTAGCTAAAATGGTGACATTTGTGCAGTGAGCTACATACATATTGGAATACTATTATGTAACCCTGAATAGTTTGAATTCCCAAAGGGACAGAAAAGATTTTTTTTGGATGACATGCCTCATTAGTCAAGACTCTTAGGAAATCCTCTAAATAACCCATCCATTAACAATTGTGGCTTAAAAAGCCTTTCCCATAAGAACTGGGACAAGACAAAGTTGCCCACTGTCACCACTTCTGTTCAACATAGTACTGGAAGTCCTAGCCAGAGCAATCAGGCAAGAGAAATAAATTAAGGGTGTCCAAATCAGGAAAGAAGATGTCTAACTATGGCATTTTGCAAACGATATGATCTTATATCTAGAAAACTCCAAAGATTCCACCAAGAAATTCCTGGAATTGATAACAGTCAAGCTAGAAATCAAATCAAAGATTCAATACCATTAACAATTGCTACAAAGAAAATAAACTACCTAGGAATATATTTAATAAAGGAGGTGAAACATCTTTACAAAGAAAACTATAAAGCACCGAGGAATGAAGTCACGGATGATACAAACAAGTGGAAAAACATATTATGCTCATGGATTGGTAGAATCAACATTGTTAAAACATCCACAATACCCAAAATGATTTACAGATTCAATGCAATTCTCATCTAAATACTAACATCGTCTTTCACAGGAAAAATAATTTTACACTTTTGATAGAACAGAAAAGAATCCGAACACCCAAAGCAATCTTAAACAAAAGGAACAAGTTGGGAGGCATCCCATTATCAGACTTCAAACTATACTACAAGGCTATAGTAACAAAAACAGCATGCTATTAGCACAAAATTAGAGACATAGACCAATGGAACAGAACAGCAAACCCAGATATAAAACCATCCACATACAGTCAGCTGATCTTCGACAAAGCAGGCAACAATATACACTGGGGAAAGGAAGTGCTATTCAATAAATGGTGCTGGGAAAATTGGATAGCCACATGCAGAAAAATGAAACAGGATCCATATCTCTCACCACTCACAAAAATTAATTCAAAATGGATAACAGACATAAATGTAAGTCATGAAACCATAAGAATTCTAGAAGAAAATGTTGGAAAAACTCTTCCAGATATTGGCCTAGGCAAAGAATTTATGAAGAAGACCCCAATGGCAATCACAGCAACAACAAAAATAAATAAATGGGACCTGATCAAATTAAAAAGCTTCTGACAGCCAAGGAAACAATCATTAGAGCAAATAGACAACCTACAGAATGGGAGAAAATAACCACAAATTTTATTAAGTGCCATGAAAGAAATAAAGCAAATGCATGCCGGGGATGAAGGGTAGCAGGGATTGTTCTTAAACAGGGCCTTCGGTCCACGACTTTTGTCACACTGGTCATTGGTGAGTTCGATGATACATCTTCTGCCTCCCAAGCTGGTGCTGTGTCAGCTGCTTTAGTCTGATATATGGCCAAAATTGTGCACTATCCCTTAGAAAGAAGTTAGGCAATTTGAGAAATGACTTTAATTCGTTCAGGACCCAGATTGCTCTTGAAGCTGAACAAACAGGCAGGAGTAACAGGAGGCTGGCTAACTTTCATCACCCTTCCACAATCTGGGAGGTACTTTGAGTTACTTTTGTCCTTGGTATTGTGAAGAGACATCTTATTGGTCTCTAAAGTAGGAGAGAGTTTGAAAACTATTTCACGAGAAGCACTGAGTTTTGCTTCAGCCTTATGGTACCAGAGTCCCTATTAGTTATATAACTGCAACATAATTGGATCTTCTGTGCTATTGCCTCTCTTTTTTAAATATGAAATTTCATTAAGCATTTTTCATGTAACCATAATATTTCCAGGTGAGAATAGAAGATAAAGTATTTATTTCAAAAGTTAATTCTGCAGGCCAGTCTATGGTTGAACTGTAAAGTTTGAAGCCACATTTACACACTCAAGATTGCTGTTTGCAATCTTTGCAAAGACCATTTGTTCTTTCCTAACAGAGTAGGGAAAGCAGCTGAGCAAAACGGAATTCCAACTTTTCTAAAGGGTAGTGATAACAGCAAGAGTTTGGTACAATTATGTCTATTTACTCGTCCCAACACTTGGTTATCTCCCTCGTGACCCTGTGCAGCCTGAGGTAATGCATTCTGCATGGTAGCTTGGGTCTGAGAAGGTTCTAAGAACTTGCTGACAATAATGCATTGTATTTCATTATTTATCACACTGGGGTAACGTGAATCTCTCTGATGTCCACTGCAGGCTGATCTGAGGCCCCTGTTCACAAGGAAAGTCATGAGGAACCCTTGTCCTACTTTCAAAGCTTTCCCTGCCTCCACTATTCCCCTTTTATTTAGTAGGGATCATGTCCTTATGACTGGCAATGATTATCTCGTATTCTAGAGCTTGACTCTGCTTTATATTAGTGTTTTTGCTGTACATGGTGTACCTTGTGTTATCACAAATTTGGGATACTTGCTCTGGAAAACTTTAACAACTTCAAAGTGAAAGTGGGCAGCCAAAATCTTTCTGTGAGGTCAGCTGCATTCCACCAACACCAGAAGCCTGCAGATATCTAGTGTTGTAAATAAATAAGGGACGTGATGTTTGCAAAAACGTGGTTTTCGTTGACCTGTGCAAAATTGATTGGAATGTTTCTGTAACATTCCTATTTGCCTTTTCAAGCTGTGGATCAAGGCAAAATTCCAACACTTTTCAGGAACTGATGTCTCCATTTTCTAGTGGATTTGTGCGACTCCTTAAGATAGCTTGATGAGGAAGCTTAGGAAAGAGCATTTGTTTGATTGTGAACTTTTCTAAGATTAACACTGGAATGAAATTATATCTGTGGGCATACTTATTGAGCTTGGGTGTTTTCAGCTATCTAGAGCTTAAATTCTAGACCCAGTAAAATACAACGAATGTTGAACGTAATAAACAAACAAAGATTCTAGAATATTCCAGCACAGTGGTGGTATTTTCTAGGGGAGTTCTAGAGTGTACTCCAATAAGTGTAAGTCAGTTGTGGGAGTGTGGATTGCTCCTCTTTCACAGGAATCAGCTGAGGAGTCCCTTGTTGAGGCAGCAGAAGTCACGGCAGAGTCTTAGGTTTGAGGCAGGCAAGACAGGTGAGGAAGGAGATGGGGAGAGAGTGAATTGCTAAGCTGGAGAGTTCAAGGCATACCTGAGAAATGTTCAAGGCTGTATGTATAGCTAGGAAGGGCAGAGATGACCTGAAGGGCCCTCCCGGCACTCTTGCCACCCCTACAGTCAATTCTTCACAACCCAGCCAGCAAGACCAAATAAAAATCTAAGTCAGTTCAAGTTGTTTCCCTACTCAAGATTTTCCAACATCTTCCAGTAACTGAAACAGTCCAAATGTATTTCCAAATATAATTTGGAAAGTAAATGTCATAAAATTCCTAACTCCTTGCCACTGCCTAAAAGACCCTAAATGATCTGTCCTGGCAAGCTGTCCAACTTCCTTTCTTACTCAACCCCCCAGTCCACTCCAGCCACGCCAGCCCCCATGCAGATCCTTAAACACACCATGCTTACCCCTTCCATGGAGTCTTCCTCTTGTTGAACCTCTTCCCCTGTTCCCCCGTTCTCCAGACTGAAATGCTCTACTCCAGATGTTCGCTTGTATTTGTTCCTCAATTCATTAAGGTCCTGCTTCTCGAGGCTTCTCCTTAAAGAAGACTTCCCTACCACACTCTCTAAAAATAGTCTCTCTACCCCTAAACTCTCTATTCTTTCATGTCAATTTATTTACCTGTATCACTTTCCCTCCCAAGTTTGTTGAGGTATACTTGATATACAAAAAGCTGCATCCAATTAATGTATACAATTTGATGAGTTGGGACAAATGTGTACACTTACATTACTATCATCATAAGCCAGGTAATACTCATATCCATCACCTCCAGAAGTTTCCTTGTATCCATTTGTTGTGCTTATGTGATAATGACATTTAACATGAGATCTATCCTCCTAACAAAATTTTGGGTTTTTTTGAGACAGAGTCTGGCTCCATCCATTGCCCTGGGTAGAGTACAGTGGTGTCATCGTCATCAAGGCTTACTGCCACCTCAAACTCCTGAGCTTTATCTGTCCTTCTGCCTCAGCCTCCCAAATAGCTGGGACTACAGGCACTCGCCATCATGTCTGGCTAATTTTGCTGCTTTTAGTAGAGATGGTGTCTTGCTCTTGGGCAGGCTAGTCTGGAACTCACTAACCTCAAGTGATCCTCCCACCTCGGCTGCCCAGAGTGCTAGGATTACAGGCGTGAGTCCCTGCATCTGGCCCCCTATTAACAAATTTTGAAGTTCACAATATCTTATTATTAACTGTACACACTAGGTTGTACAGCAGTTCTCTGGAATTTACTCATCTTGTAAACTATAAATTTATACTCATTGAATAACAACTCCCCAAATTCCCCTCCTCCCATCCCTTGCTCACACCATTCTATTGTCTATTTCTACACTTTTGGCTATTTTAGATGCCTCTCATGTATAGGAGGAATCATGCAGTATTTGTCCTTCTGTGACTGACTTATCCCACTTAGCATAATGTCTTCTGGATCCATCTGTGTTGTCATAAGTGATAAGATTTTCTTCTTTTTTAAGGTTGAATAATATTCCATTTTATGTTTATACCACATTTTCTTCACCATTCATCTGTAATGGACATTTGGGTTGTTTCCATATCTTGGATATTGTGAATAGTGATGCAATGAACACGGGAGTGTGGATACCTCTTCAAGATCTTGATTTCAATTCTTTTGGATGTATAACTGGAAGTGGGATTGCTGAATCATACGGTAATTCTATGTTTAATTTTTTGAGGAACCTCCATGCTTCATAGTGGCGGCACCATTTTACATTAGCAGTGTACAAAACTTCTTATTTCTCCACAACCTTTCCAACACTTGCCTTTTGTTTTCTTGATAACAGCCATCCTAATTTATGTGAGGTAGTATCTCCTTGTGGCTTCAATTTGTATTTCCCAGGTGATAAGTGATGTTGACCATCTTTTCATCTTATGTGTTGACCATTTGTATGTCTTTTTTTTGAGAAATGTATCTTTCAGTATTTTAGTCATTTTTTAACCTAATTATTATTATTGTTATTTTGTTATTGAGTTGCTGGAATTCTTTATGTAGTTTGGTTATTAACCTTCATTAGACATAAGGTTTGCAAATATTTTCTCTCATTCCATAGTTTGCCATTTTACACTATTGTTTCCTTTGCTGTGTGGACACTGTTTAAATTTGCTGTAGTCCCACTATCTAGTTTTGCTTTTCTTGCCTGTGTTTTTGGTGTCCTAATCAAGAAATCATTGTCAAAACCAATGTCAAGAAGCTTTTCTCTTAAGTTTTCTTCTAGATGTTTTAGGATTTCAAATTTTATATTAAAATCTTTAATCCATTTTGAGTTAATATTTGTGTAGGATGAAAGATAAGGATCCAATTTCGTTCTTCTGCACATGGATATCCAGTTTTCCTTACCCCATTTATTGAAAAGACTGTTTTTCCCCCATTATATTAATATATTCTTTGCATTCTGTAGAAAATCAGTTGACTGTATATATGTGGGTGTCTTTCTGGGCTTTCTATTTTGTTTCATTGGTCTATATGTCTGTTTCCGTGCCGTTACCTTATCATATATATTGAAATTAGGAAATGTGATGCTTCCAGCTTTGTTCTTTTTACTCAAAATTCCTCTGGCTATTTAGGGGTCTCTGGAAGCTACATATAAATTTTTGAATTTGTATTCTTGTCTTATTGTGTCTTCAAGATTTTGACAGGAATTTCATTGAATATGTAGATTATTTTGAGTTGCATAGACATTTTAATAATGTTACTTCTTCTAATCTATGAACATGGCATGTCTATTTATTAGTATCTGCTTTAAATTTCTACATCAGTGTTTTACAGTTTTCACTGTACATCTTCCATCTACTTGATTAGATTTATTCCTAAGTATTTTATTCTTTTTAATGCTATTGTAAATGGGATTGTCTTCTCAATTTCTTTTTTGGTAGTTCATATCCCTTTCTGGCATTGTATTATTTATTTATTAGTGTGACTTCTTCTTAACTGTCTTATTCCAATCTGTAGCACCTAAAACACTCTAGCACCTAAAACAGTGCCTGGTACATGGTAGGCTCTTGATAAATATTTGATGATTTAATTAATCATCAAATTAATTGATGATTAATCAATTAGAGAATTAATACTTGCTGATATAAATTATAAGGGGAAGCAATATGGTAATTTCACCCATGACATTTATAGTAAAGAAAGTCATGAGAAATGAAATAAGGAATGAGATGCAGAACAGGATAAGTGATTCATGAAGCTGAGCTGGAACTGTGAGTTGGAATGGATTTTAGAGTGGTCTAGAAAGAAGAGACCCATAAATTACAGCCCCTGATGGCCTAGAGTAAGGTGATCAGATCCAAAGCTTGATTAATGTCTGGTTCAGCTACATTTTTATTTTTTCTTGAAACATTGCAATGCATTTACTTTTCCCACAGAAAAATCCATTCCTTTTGTGCATCCTGAGGTAAAAATAAAATGATGTATTTTTGCATAATATTGGGGGAAATTTGGAAAATATCATATGTTTGGGTCTTTATACTTGCTTGTGCAATTGTTTTTCCAAAAGTTAAGTAGGAGGGAGAGGGGAAGGGAGGGAGAAAGGGAGGGAGAGAATGAGAAAAGAGTAGGGGAGAGACAGAGAGGGATAGAGAAAAAGAGATATTTTGCTTTCCTTCTTTGATCAGCAGAAACAAGCTGCTGACTTCCATGTGGAAATGAGTATCTTTTCTGAGAATGTGGCAGAGAGGAGAGGCAAGTATGATCATTGACCACAAAAAATCAGTCAGAAGGTGGCAAGAAGCAGACATACTGATTCAGTTAATTCTGAGGTTTACATTTTTTTTTCAAACAGAGAACTGGTAAAGTAGGATGATTTAATATTAATAGTAAATATGTGAAAAATGACAAATATAAATTATTTTATTTAACAAGAATTTTGGTTATATTTCTTTCTTTTATTTACTTCAAGGTAAAATAAAATTATTTTTATAATAAGGTAATATACATTTAGAAATTGGTGAGAGTGCCAATTAGAACTGTTGATAATCAATGAAAATATATTAAAGACTTTGAACACATCTGATATTTAATTAATTAAATTTAATTTAATATTTTCATTTTATTTTTTAAAAAGTCATTATAATCAGTTTAATTAAGTGCACAGAATAGCAATAGTCATGTTAATAAAAATAAAACAGTTATTGTTACATCAAGTGTGCTTTATTTCCTCCACAGATAATTTTAATTAATTTTAAATAAATAAATAGAAAATCTGTGGGTGTGGGGCTCTTCCTTCAGCTTGTGCCACACTTGCGAAACATGCCTCAGATGACTTCATTGTGGAAAAAAAATTGGTTGCATCAAAAAGAAAATTGTTGGGTGAAAGGGTAACTACTTGGGAGATTTAAATGGAAAGTTAGGAGCTAAACGATAGAGGAGAAAATCCATGCACTGCTTCTTGCCATATGTTAGAATTTGGATGCATTTGATGAACTGGAGGTTAAATAGTTTCCGAGAACTTTTAAAGCCTTGGGCTTTGCAACATTCCCAGGATGACTCAGCATGGGAAACTTCAAGTCCATGTAAGCATGCAGGGTGTTTCATGAGCAGCAAAACCCTGTCAGCTTCTGAGCTTTATGGGAGAAAACAGTGAGTATGGAAGATGCTCGCTCTCTAAATTGGGGAAAACAAAAATGTCCTGAAAAGTAAAGGAAGGGAAGTTTCAGTAAGGAGAACCTTACAACATGGAGCTATCTAGTCATAGCAAAAGTTCTAGATCTTTAATGACATGAATTGCTGGTATGGATTATAAGAGAAGAGTGCACACAAGTATCTAAGACTATCTGATGTGATTATTTGGAATATAAAACCATTTAACAGTGTAATGAGAAGTCAAGAGATTTAGAGCCTGGACGCTGGGATTTGAATCCCAGATATCACTTGCTTGTTGTTATCGAAGTATAACATACATACAAAAAACTGCCTAAATGGTATAGTTCAATGACTTCAAAAAGGAGACAT